CCAAGTGCATATTTTCTACTCATCAGACTTAAAAAATCTGAACAGCTAAGAATTACCTATATTTATTGTGTACATGTTGTGAGAAAGGCATCCATGGTGTGATGGCTAAGTAGAGCTGATTAATACAAGCATCACCTCACATCATCTCCTTTCCTGTGTGGTAAAAACAACTGGATTGCACCTTTCAGCTATCTTCAATCATACAATACATCGTTAACTGTAGTCACCATGTTGTACAACAGCTCTGGAACATATTCCTTCTAACTGACATTTTGTATCCTTCGGCCAATACAAACATTCCTCAATGAATGACTGAGTAGTGGTCCCTCAACTATGTCACTCAATGAAGTCATTGCTAAATGAGGAACTGTATATTGTAAGTACACTGCAATATTCAGAAAGAAGAAATTGCCAAAGCAATCTCCAACTTGATACCTTTGCTTTTATTTGCATAACTCTTACATGTAGTACTGTATTATATAACAGAACATAAAACAATATTGTACTATACAGTACAATCAGCAAAAACTACAGTATAAACAAGGTATACTGTACCAGGAAAAGATATCAAGTCCCTATGAACAAGATGTACAGAACTGTACCAATAAAAAAATGGGTTATGATTCTGAACAGCGTACCTTGGTTGTAAGTCCAAACAGTTGTTTAACCAGGTAGGTTGTTAAACAAAGAATATCAATATCTCCCTAAGTCTCACTATCTTGCCCTCAGTAACCAGTACTGTACTTTCTACTTGCATGAGCTGAATGTTTTTTACACTGTGAGATCGTGCTTTATTTGTTTTTCTGTGCCTCATGTATTTCTCTTAGAGCAGATCAGTGTCACAGAACTTTCCCCCATATTTTCTTCTAGTAGTTTTAAACTTCAGGTTGTATGTTTAAGTTTCAAATTCATTTTGAGGAGATTTTTATACAAGGGGAGAGATAAAAATCAAATTCCTTTCTTCTTGCATGTTGATTCCTAGCAGAAGAGACTTCTTTCCTCATGGTGTGTTCTTGGCATCTTTGTCAGAAACACTTGACCATAAATACATAATTTCTGGGCTCGCTATGCTGTCCCATTGGTCATTCTGTGTTATATGCCCGTGCCCTGCTGTTTTGGTTATTACTGGTTTATCACACATTTTGAAGAGAGGTAGTGTGAGGATGTGACAGCAATGTTGGAAAGTAGAAGGCCATCTGCTCTGCTGCTGCCATGAAGGCCAAAGTCTTCAGTAGGTTCACTTCCACAAAACTACTCATTGAGGGGGCTGGGGATTTAGCTCACTGGCACAGCACCTGCCTGGCCAGTGCGAGGTTGTGAGTTCAATTCCCAGCACTGGAAAAAAGCCAAAACAACAAAAAAAAACTACTTATTGATTCTTCTTTTAAAATTTCCTGCCATTTGACCACTGTCTGACTGCAATATTCTCACTTTATATACATTTCTCTAGTTTTCGAGGAGGTGGGCCTACCTTCCTTGGACTGTGTTTAAACTTTGTTCCCTGGACCTTGTACCTTCTCTCTAGGCCTCTTTCACTGTCATGGTTCAACCAGTGCTTACTGGTATTTGCACATCTGCAAGCCTCTAGCCAATAACACTTGTCTGAATTCAGACCATCCACTTAATTTTCAAAGAAACATCTCTGCTCACACCGCCTTAGGCTTCTCCCTCTACCAACCTCATTTCACTCTGTATTCTGTTTCTTTGAGGAGTCCACCAACACCATTATCTGTCCAGGTACTCAGCTTACAAAGCAGGGAGTCGTTTTCCCCTCTCATTGTATATAATTCATTAAAAATCCAGTTTATGTCAGTTTTACTTATTAAACTCATTAATTATTCTTGCATACTGTATATCTTCTCTCTCACTTTCTATTCTTCAGTTGGATTTTTGAGTAGTTTTTGTAACTCGTATAGTAGCTCTCTACCTCTTTTCTCTGATTTCTGTTGTCATTCTTTAGTCTAAGCATAGATTTGGCACACGCTAGGTCCCTAAGGCCTTTATTGGGTGACTAAACTTAATAAATGAATAAATGAAAAGTTTAATATTTTTGACTCATAGTGATCATGTACTTGTTCATGTGGTTTGCCTTGTCTAATTCAGTTTGAACATGTATACACAATGTCATCAATACAGAATGTGTACAAGCCACTTTGTTATTATTTATGCTATCCATATATGAGTCCTTGGTTCAATTCATGCAGGGCTTTCAACTAAGGGTGTAGAAATCAAATCTTCAAAAATAATACAAAAATATCTTGAGTCTCTTGAGGAAGGGATGAAGGTCACAAAGCCTGATAGTTCTCTGTACATTACCCATTCTTCTTTATCCCTGATCCTCATTTCTTTTATACTTACAATGCTACCTAGCAGAACAGGATTTTTCCTAATTAATAGCATGGGAAAATAGAAAAGTTGAGCAATCAGACAGTAACTGTTCTTAATAGACAGAGGGAAAGAGAGTTATAGATCATCGCACATTCGTGATTGCTATCCGAGGGCGCATGTGTGTGTGTGGGCTGTGACATCACTGTCTTTGGATTCTTGGTCAGTTAGTTACTCCTTTATACTGCCATGTAGAAGACTCTTTATGTGCAGTTACCCTTATCCCACAGGTGACATTTGCCTCCTTTCCTTGTAAAACAAAACAAAACAAAACACACAACAGAACGAAAACAAAAGCAAACACCCAAACCTGAACATACAGCTCATTTGCAGAGGTGCTGGAGTAATAACTATAACAATGCACTTAAAACATGTCTCTGGATTCGCTGAAGGAAGGAATCCTGGCCTCAGCACTTTACTTTCTGTCTGGGCACTTTGTGGTTAGTCTGTGTACGTCGTGCTTCATACATGAGCAACAGCTGTGTGCTGACGCGCCAAGAAAAACCACTTCAACATAGCGTTGCTGCAAGTAGAAAATGGTATTTATGAATGCTGGCAGTGAATGCACTCTTGGACTGTATTTAATTCTGAAATGTGAATGGAAAAATGCAGTGCATGGGAAAGCCAGTCCTGTGGGATCCTGAGCTGGGTCTACTGTTAGAAGAAGACAGTGTCCTCAAAGCACAGAGCTCTGGGGCCCCTGCAAGCTGTGCGCTCTGTCCTGCGGGGAGCCTGGATGTGCCCACGTGGATGGAACCTCACCACAGTGGTACCTAGCCATCCTTGGGGGAAGCTGGGGAGGCACAGCAGGAAACCCGCCACTTGGCAGCGCATCCTGGCCAAAGCAGACTTTGACTGTGCAACAGCTGACTTTGATTACGGCTTCACAAATTTTCAAGAATACCCTTCTTTTACTTGTTCCCTCATGAAATCATAATGTTCATGTCATTTGAGACTCCTGTACCGTTTGGGGGTAGAACACCCTTCCTAAGTCAGGTCCAAGGGGCGGCGGACTCCACCGTGTTCTCGCCGTGTTGCAGAGTTGGACGAAGGGCTCCTTTGCTTGGCTGTCACCATGCTGACTGCTGCTGAGGGACTAGTGTTGCTCGGTCAGCCCCATCTGAGTAGTAGTGATGTTTAAAAGCTTTTGTCCCCATAGCAACCTGGATGCTACGGGAAGGTCTGCCCAGCCATAGTCATTTCTCAACATCTCAGCTCTGTGCTAACTTGCGTCCCCACAGCTCAGTGATTCCGTTTTCATAACCGGGCACTTCTGCAGGATGTGAGCCGCCTGACGTGCCATGCCAGGGTTGGGGTGACATTCGTGGCTTCCAGAGACTGTGAATGCAGTCCAGAAGCACCATGAAGCCAGAGGGTGTTTCTGAACAGTGTCCCCAAAGCCTTCTTTACAGTGTCCCTCTTTGGGGGATCCACATCCTAACAGGTCGGAGTCATTCTTACTGAGTAAATCTTTTAATTTCTCATGAAGTATTTGGGGTGTTGGATAATGAATTCCAGGCTCCTCTGTCTCAGGGGACCAGAGAAAATATAACATATTTTTCTCCTCTGCACTCAGTCTAGTATCCATTGTGTAGCTATCCTGTCCCACCTTTCTCTGCCTCATGGTGATGTGATTTTTGCAGAGATTTTTTTTTTCCTTTCAGTGTCAACTGGCTTAAATTGGACCTACTCTCCCCATGTCAAAATACTAAGAAAATGAGACTGGGGAGTTTACTGGGGCATATTTTTCTTTGAAGACATACAGATGTGTGAAAATCTCTGTTTCCATATCCAAACTCCATATAGGAAGAGGAATGTTGACTACACACGTCAGACCAGAGGCTCTCTTTCTTCATTTCTCCTCGAGAGGACTAACCTGGGGGCCGCTGAGAGGTTCAGGTTGAACTCCTTCCATAACCAGCTGGGGGGAGTGTCTAGTGAAACCATTTAAATATAGACCACACAACCACACGTAAAGGTATTTTATGATGTTTCAAGAGAAATAAAAGATCAATAATTTAAACTTTTTTTGTTTGTTTTTTTCCAGTACCAGGAATCGAACTCACAACCTCATGCTTGCCAGGCAGGCGCTGTGCCACTGAGCTAAATCCCCAGCCCCTAGTTTAAACTTGTTTATAATAAAGACTGATACTATGGTCTCTTCAGAAGCATTATACGAGTCTTCTTCAAAGAAGGTTTAAAAATGAAACAGAGCTTATCATTCTGAGAGAGTTTGAGTAGGATCTGTTACAGGGCAGTTGAGCAGAGGGAAGGGTGGCTTCTGTCATCAGGTCATTAAGTGTTGGGTTTTCATCTTCAAGTTCAACCACTAGTTGCTCAGCTGTGGATTCTGAACCAGGGCAGTGTGGGCATGTGGGCTTTCAGGATGGGGGTCTGTAGCCCATTTTTATATAGCAGCAATACTGTGATACCAGTAAATCTTCCATCAGTGTGTAGGGAAACCTTAACCACTGAACTCGTGTCACTACTCCATATTTATATAAGGTGGTAATCACCACCAAACTCAATGACACCAAGGTATTCTCATGTACTGTTAAGAATTTAATCATGTGTAGGTTATTTACAGAATTGTTTTATTTGTTTTTATTCTGCAGCCTCCACCTCAGATTTATGACAAACAGCTGGATGAAAGAGAACACACAATTGAAGAATGGAAAGGTGATTCTTATAAATGTATATTTTTTACTTTATTGAAACTCAGAACACAGAAAGAATCTGACACTTCTATATCCTATGCTTCTGATACAGAAAGTGCCCCAAGACTTTTTTCTTATATAATAGTTTACTGAAAGATTTTTCAATTGTTCTCTAGGGCCAGTTTCAAAGTTCCTAAAATTTCATCTGTCTTTTCATACTGATAGCAAATTTGTATTTGCTTATGAATGAAAGGAACTAATTACTGTCATCTTTGCAAATAGTGCTAATTGTCAAAATGTTTGTTGCGGAGGACAAGCTTCAACTCAGAATTTCAAAATTAAATTTCTTGCTTGTAAGCAAAACTTTTGCATAAAACATAAAATTAAAATGAGGTCTGAAATGTTTTTAGACTTCAGAAAGAGGAAGATAGTTACGAATGAGTTTATTTGCTGCGTGTATAGGGTTTGAGAGCTTAAACAGAAAATAAGCGCTCCTTGGTGGCTTATTTCTCCTGCAATTAATAAAAGAAACCAGTGAATGCCTTGGTCTTTTTTTCAGAAAAAACTTCTCCAAACTTATACTACATCTTCCAAAATATACCTGGGCTGAAACAATCAGAGTGGCAACTCAAACTTGCAAAGCATTATTAAACTAATAGAAATAGCTACAGAGCAGAACAGGATAAGAAACCCTAGTGGGAAGATACCAAGTGATCAGACCAAAGTGGGGAGAAACATAAAATGAGAATTTTAAGGGAAGGGGAATTTAGCTACCTTGAAGGAATTAATATAAATTGCAAAAAAAAAAAAACAAAAACAAAAACAACCAAACAGTAAAAAACCAAATAGGGGCTCTAAGAGGAAAACAAATTGCAGGAGCAACCAAAACTTACAAGGAGAACAAAAAGACATTCCTGGGCAAGGGACCGTGCTGGTGAAGATGGCAAAATGAACAAAAGCAAAATGTAAATCAGCGAAAAAGCAGCTAGAAGGAAAGAGCTTGCTTTGCTCTAATCAAGAATAAAGGAATTTGCAGGGGGGTGTAAATAGGTGAGAGAGAGATGCAGCCATCATTTGATGAAGAAGTTGACTAAAGTGGAAGAAGAGGTGTGCATAAGGGTTGATGACTACATGAGCCTTAGACTATAGCAACACAAGGATGAGGAGGGCTGAATAATTTTCAGCTAAAGAGGACAAAATAAAAGGAACTGAAGATCATTTTTTTTTTTTAACTCTAGCAATGAGAAAGTCAAAAATGGATGCCAATTTGGAAATGAATAAAATGAATTTTTAGTATGTTGCATTTTAGGCCTATTTAGGTTTACAAATCTAAGATATGAGCCTGAAAGAAAAATGATGTCAGGTGGAAGGTGTAAGTTCTGGTAATAATTTAACATTGTGAGAAATTGTGCATCTTGCTTCAGTGCGCATATTATAAAATAGATGCTCAAATAAGGTCATCAAAATCCTTGACAAATAACATGAGCCTATATCAGAAGTTGCCTACCCACTGAGAACCCAGAAAAATGTATATCTTTTGTGCATTCATTTATTAACTGCTTTATTGAGCAGCTACTTTTCTTTACCTCTGTTCTAATTACAAGGAAAAACAGAAACAAGACTAAGGGATCTCAGTTGATTTTTTATCTACTCAACCCCATCAAAATATTGTTATATGTTATGAATTAATTTCTCTGTGGATTATGAAACGCTCACTGTATGTAGTAACACAGATAACTATTTCTTACAGAACTTATTTACAAGGAAGTAATGAATTCAGAAGAAAAGACTAAAAACGGTGTAGTAAAAGGACAGCCTTCTCCTTCAGGTACTCACTCTCAGTGAATAAGCAATAGACCAGTACTTGGGGCTGCCCTGGACTTCTGGCAGGGGCTGCAACCGCTAGCATTACTTACTGAATGTATGGGCAAGTACTGCGTGACTGTCTCCCCAGGCTTTTAATTTTGTTTATTCTGATGTTTAATGTGACATTCATTCTGATTATTCTGATTGCAATGACCAGCACAGGAGTGCTCTTAGAACTGATTTTAAGACAATCGCATGTGCTAAAGAATCACTGACATGGGTTGCTTCAAGCATAAATGCTATTCAGGAAACACAGAGACACAAGGTCGTACTCACCACTGGGTCAGTGGAGAGCTCAGGAATCCCTCCAGCTCCATCCTCTACCCTCGCCCACTGTCACTGTCTGAACCCTTCCAAGTTGGTGTGACTACAGCTGAAGCCTCTACCATGTATGCTGTGTGACTGTACATTTCCTACTTTGGGACAAAATACCTGACATGTGCAACATGTCTCATGTTTTCAGCCATGACCACAGGCTGTCTTTATTTTGTTTGTTTGGTTTTGTTTGTGTGTGCGTTTGTTTTGAGACAGGATCTTACCATGTAGTTCAGGCTGGCCTGGAACTTTCAGTGATCCTCCTGCCTCAGCCTCCAAAGTACTGGGATTACAGGCATGTGCCACCACACTGCAGGTTCTAAGACAGAAACAGCAGGGTAGAAGGGTGTGTTGGAGACGAGCTGCTCAATCCATGGCTACCAGGATGCTAATGGGAAAGAGCTCTAAAAAAGTTAGGCCCTTCAGAGTTGCACCTAAGTGATCCGAGTGACCTGCTTTCTCCAGAAAGTCCCACTTCCTGCCTCTTCAGCTATGCAGTCATTAACGGGGTCACATATGGTTGAGATTAGCACTGTGACAGACCAGTTGCCTAATCTGTATGAGTCTCCAGTTCAGACAAGTGGACAATCAAGATGATAATCACAGTCAAGGTCACTTGAAGTAATTTGCTTGCACTTATTAATGGTAATGTATTTTTTCCTAAGATGCATGTCCTGAATAGAAAACATTTTAGAAAATGCGGTTTATTTTCACCTTTAAATTACACTCAGCTCATGCTGGCAAGAATGTTGCCTGTAAATGACTAGTTTAGAAGGAAACAAGATTTGTGTGTCTGGCCTTTCATAAAAGATATTTCCCATTCATGGCAAATTGTTTTAGGAAAAAGGGAATAGGATGAATTAGTTAATCAATTACTTACCCTGTGTCCAAGGCAGCCTGTCTGCCAGACAGACTTAGTTACTGCATGTTCTCCCCAGCAGACCTGAGGCAATGTTCTACCCCAAGATTTCTTCAGAGAGGGCGAAGGGGGTCACTGGCATTGTCTTTCACCTTGACCACCTTAGCTACTCTTTCTACCACCTAGATTGAGTCTGCAGAAGTTGTTTCTAAATTCTCTATATGTTCTCTCTGCTGCTGATTAAAGAAATCTAAGACAGGCCCCAACATCCATCCAGAAAGATTCCTTGTGTTAAGATTTTGTGTAATAATCAGGACAAATTTTCTTATCTTATAACTATTAAGAAGCAGAGACACCAGGATCCAGGAAAAGATGATATTTCATACTGGGATGGAACACATACTGGGAATAGTTTTAATAGATACTATGTATAAATCTTCAGTTCAAATTGTCATTGCTTCATTTCTTTTCCAAAATACCTTGTTCCAAAAGACTTTCCATATCTTCCCAACGAATAGAATCCTTTTAAATTTTCTATTAGTCCCTGTGTTTAAGAATACTGGATCTCAGGGGCTGGGGATTTAGCTCAGCGGCAAAAGCGCCTGCCTGGCAAGCACAAGGTTGTGAGTTCGGTTCCCGGTACCAGAGAAAAAGCCAAAAAATAAAATAATAAAATAAAAAAAATAAAAAAAAGAATACTGGATCTCTTGTCTTATTACCCCTTACTGATTATAAGCTCACTGAGAAGATTGTACATGTTATCTTTGCACATTGCTAAGTGCTGGGCCCTGCCATAATAATAGCTCAATAAATAGCTATTAATTTAAAAATTACCCCTCAGTTTCTCTCTCAGCACGTTACTTGGTGCTATTCCAAAAACAGAATTCAAGACAGGATAATAGCTTTAATCGAGTGTACAACTCAGTAAGTTCTTAGATGATGATAACAACTATTTAGTCACCCTGTTATTCGCCATGAGTATAAATGGGTCAAGCGTAAAGTCTAGGAATTGTTACCTTTGACATTCCTTCATGCTTCCCACAATGGTTTGCTTCCTTCATGTGATTTTTTTCTTCATTCATTTTGGAAGTGTAGATGCGTGATTATTTTGCAGACCTGTTTTCTCCAGTGTTAATGATTATTTCAAAATATATCAGTTAAGGTCTACCTAAGAAAGAAGTCTAAACTCCCTTTTAACCACACCAACTGTGGTAACAGCCAGAGATTACCCACCATGCACACATACCCTCAACTAGATAGTTGACTGACTTAACCAACTCATCATTAAAGTGACTGTGGGGTCAATCTTTCGCTGCATGATTTTAACGGAAAACGATTCATGACTAAATTCTGATAAATTACAGGTGTTGTGCATCTATGTGACATATTTATACATGATGTATCTTCGTATATTTACATCATGTAGAGGCTGTGGAGCAGCTGGGTGTTAGAATCACTTCTTGACCCTCAAGAGAAGCAATTGTGTATATCGCTTCTCAGAGTGATTTTATGGAGCTCATGTTGATAGCTTCAAACCAGCTAGAGAAATTTACAACCCAGAACTTGGCAGACTCTACAAATCAAGACATTTTCCCCACTAGAGAGCTGTTTGTTAAATTTTGACTGGTGCACCACTGCATGTGTGTGTGTGTGTGTGTGTGTGTGTGTGTGTGTGTGTGCGCGCGTGCGTGTGTGGTAAAATGCTGGAGAGAAAAAGCAATTACTAAAACATCTTGCAAAATCTTGCTGTTTTGCATTTTCATTATAGTCACCTTTCCCTGTTAATGTCTACATACCATACTTTATTCTCTAGATAGCTAGGACAAAGGAATCTTGCAATATGGATTCTTTTAATGTTCAGTGGTAATTCCATAGCAAGGGAATCCATTGGTGCAGCTCCTCAGGGATAAAACGGTCTTAATCCCCAATCTGTTGTAGGAATGCTTTAAAAAATGTAAATAGGAAGTTAAACGCACATTTGCAGAGTACTTTATGGATTTAGAATTCAGTGATGGAATTGTTGTCTATCAGTGAGGACTACATCTAAACTTCAGATATATTCCTAAACAAATAATTTTACTCTCTCCTGTCATCCGATTTCACTTGCAGAATGATTTGTTTTTAAGAACAGCCTACCTGTTTGCTTCCTCAATTGATTTGTAAAGCTTCCTGAATTGATTTGTAAAGACTGCTGTGGGAATAGGAGTCTGGGAACAGAAATTAATTTTCCTCTGTAAGCAATTGCTACAGAATGTTAAAGCTGGAATAAATATGGGAGGTCATCTAATCCAGTGATTCTCTGTTTGTTCCCCACCTCTATTCCATGTAGATGTAAAGTTCCCTCAGGTGACAGTGACTCACTGAGACAAAGATGCTTAGCACATGGTGGACAGAGATTTTTAAAAAAATCTTTAAATGAAAGATAAATTCGTCCAGGTATTTATAGTACACATTCCCTTCTTTCCAGTATGGGTAATATACCCTACTATGGGAGTAGACCTGTCCCAGTTAAAGTCACTCATTTAGTTCAATAAGTTGTTTTTATTTTTTGCTAAAGTGTCATCAAGCCCAGATATTTTGGGAGGCTCAAGATTATACAAATAAAATGAATATCTTTCTGTGTTTTTAAAAATTTTCTTCTCATTTTTGGTATATACCTTTTTGTGGTTGGTAGTTGTGGAGGGAATTGTCAGGAAAATAAATTCCTTTTAAAAAACCAGCCATATATCTCCTAATAACAGTGAATATTTTTTGGTTAGATAACTTCTGGCTTGGAAATTTTCATTAGCATAAGTTATTTCATTTTGTGAATTGTGCTGTTTTAAAGTAAAGTTGAAAGTAGCTCACATCCCTCCTTTGCAACCCTATTAGTATTTTTAGTTCCTTTAAATGTCACTGTTATTGAAAATAACATGCAAATATGCATTGCTTTATTGACAGCAAGGCCTATTATAAAATTCACCTTTTTACTGGCCTCCTCTGTGTAATAAAGAAGGAAGAGCTATTTATCACATTTCTGGGATGTCAGGGCAAGTGGACATTACAATCACGTGCAGTCTAGTTCATGTCTGTTTAAGAGATTTTTCATAAACTTCTTGGCAGTAAATTATGTGAAACGAAAGGTTTTATTCTGTCCCTTTTTCTTTCTTTTTTTATTTTGGTCTTGTTGAGACAGAGTCTTGCTATGCATTTCAGGCTGGCCTTGAGCTCACTTTGCAGTACAGGCTCATCTTGAACTTGCAACAATCTTCCTGCCTCAGCCTCCCGAGTGCTGGGATTATAGGTGTGCTCCATGATGCCCAGCTCTGTTCCTTTTTCTAAAGGGATTCTTAGCTCTTATTTTTTTGAGACCAGGTCTTGCTATGTAGTTCAGGCTGAACTTGAACTCCTTATGTAGTCCAGACTGTCCTCAAACTTATGGCAGTCCTCCTGTCTCAGCCTCCCAAGTGTTGGGATTACAGGTGTGCGCCACCACACCTGGAGTCTGTCCCATTCATTTGTGCTCATTTTTTTTTGTTGTTGTTTCATTTTTTTTTTCTTCTGGTACCAGGAATTGAGCTCACGACCTTGTGCTTGCCAGGCAGGCGCTTTGCCACTGAGCTAACTCCCCAGCCCCTATTTGTGCTCATTTTTGAGCTTTGCAAAATTTGTTTGTTACCTCTATGAAAATAGACTTGAATGGGTCATAGTGAAGCCAGAAGTGATTGCAGCCACTTATCATAATACAATAATGAAGGGAATGCAGATCACAAATTATTCATAGAACAATGTAAGATCATTAATAGTTAACCATCGTCTCCTGAAAGACAACTGACCAGTAACACTTGCCAATTTCTGTGGTGTCAGTATTCTCACTGTGACCAATTGCAAGCTCCCAGTATGACACCAGTGAACGCAGAGTTGTAAAGTGATGCTAATAACTAGCTGTAAGAAGCCCCTGAGCACTACTGCCAAAACACTGAGAGACAGTGCACATTACTCTCCCTCCCTAGCACCATGGAGAGGAACCACTCCCATAAGGCAAGCAGACGTCATGGTGATTTTTACAGAAGAAGCATTGGAAGAAAAGATCTCTCTTAATTTGTGGTGTAGAAAATCAGGTACAGTAGTCCATGAAACCCTAGAAGTGCAGGTTTTCTATAAAGATTTGATAGATTCTGAATTTTAACTAAGTGAAGGTGAATTCTAAATTTACATTCAATATTGATAAAGTAGGAGGCAAGACCCTTCTGACAAAGCACAAAGATTACAGGGAACCAGGTGATGAACCCAAGAGAAAAGATGATTTTCCTTGGCCAGAACAGTGTAGTGTCATTTGATCTGTTTGATTTCCAGTCCACTGCCAATGAGATGCTTTATTCAAACAAACCAGTTGTAGCTCTATTTACTAGCAATGAACAAAAACAAAAACAAAAACAATTCCATTTTGAATTATGTCAAAAAGTGGGGAAAAAAAAATTAGAATAACAAAAGAAGTGCAAACTTTGCGCTCTGGAAATTACAAAATACTGTTTAATCAATATTAATTAACTAAGTTAAAGAAGACATAAGTAAATGGATTGATGTTCCATTGTTCATGGACTAGAATAGTCAATGTGATGAAGGTAATAATATTCCCCCAAATTGACTTATAAGTCAAATACAATACAAAAATAATGACTATCTTCTTTGCAGAAATCTGGTCTGAAAGTTCAGGTAAAAACTCAAGGGACACAGAATAGATGAGAAATACATCACCTTGAAGGAGATAGAATTAGAGGATTCACACCGCAGCTATCCAAAGTTAGAGCAAAGACACATGTTCAAGAGAGCATGCTTTTATGTGAAGATGTAGATCAATGGAGTGGAATTGAGAGTCCAGAAATAAATCCTCATATTTATTATCAGTTGATTTTGCACAGCTGTGTCAAGATAACTTTACAGGGAGAAACAGTCTTTTCAAGAAACAGTGGTGCGACCAACTGTGCACTTGAAAAAGAATGCTAGTGGACCTCATCCTATGCAAGAATGAGCGTTGTGTAAGAACTAGTGTAAGAACTGTAGTGTAAGAACTAAAATTATAAAATTCTCAGATAAAAACATGGGATTAAACCATCATGATCTTGGGTTAGGAAATGATTTCTTAGATGTGACATGAGGAACACAAGTGAAAGAAGAACAGCTAGATAAATTTGACATTATCAAAGCTAAGCACACTTGTGCTTCACCACTGACACCCGTTGTTCTGTACAGTCAATGGGTGCTAATAATTAGAACTCAAAGCTTGTGCTTCAAAGACACCCTCAAGACACCATGGAAGGAAAATACTGGCCAATCATATACCTTAAAAGGGCTGCATTGCAAAGATAGAAAGTGCTTTTACAATTCATAAAAAAAAGTCTTACCTAATTTAAAATGGCCAAAGAATCTGAATAGACTTTCTACAAAGAAGATAAAAAAATTAACAAACTCATTAAAAGATACTCAACACCATTAATCATCAGGCAAACCCAAATCGAAACACAATGAGACACTGCTTCACACACACTAGAATGGCTACAGTCATTTAAAAGTGATAAGAAGCATTAGTGAGGTGGAATTGCAGTGCTAAACCTTTTGGTAGGGATGTAAACTTGTGCACCCACATACAAAAATAGTTTGGCAGTTCCTCTAGTGGAATGAACTCAAAGAGAATTAAACATAGAATTATTCTGTGACCAAACAATTCCATTCTCTGCTATATACCCAAGAGAAATGAAAACAAGTCTGTACAAACCTTGTACATAAAAGTTCATAAAAAATGTGTGTACAATGGGTAAAAAGTGTACATCAAATGCCCACCAACTATTGCACCAAGTTAATACATTCAAATGATGGACTATTCTCCCTCTGTATAAAGGAATGAAATACATGCCACAGCATGGATGATCCTTAGGGAGATTATGCTTTGTGAGAGAAACCAGTCATGATTGATCTCATTTTGTGCACTTCCATTTGTAGAAATGTCCATATTTGGTGGATTATAAAGACAGAACATTGATTTAGCCTACTTTGGGCTGGAGGGTAGTAAGGAAATGCAAAGCCATGTTCCTTTTCAGAGTAATAAGAGTGCTGCAAGGTTGATTATGGTTTTGGCTGCGCAACTCTAAATATACTAAAAACCTCAAATTTTATAAGTTAAATTTATAAAGTATATAGTATGTGACATATCTTAATAAAATGGTTACAAGAAAATATATGCGCATGATTTCATTTCTCAAGTCAAATGTAAATCTAAACTACAGCACGACGAATTGAAAGCCCTTTATAAGAAAAGGATATATTATCCAGACAGAAATCACAGTAAGAAAAGTGCAATCTCACTATGCGGACCTATAATTCATCAGGCATTTATTAGGGTGTTGTGTCCAATCTTAATCTTTACCTTTTAATAAGGATGTGGAAAAATTGAAGAAGATTCTGAAAGTCCATTTTAGTGACATTAAATGATTAGATCCAAGAATTTATGAAATAATCTGAAAGATGTTGGTAAAATCTAATCCATAACTGGGGGAACACAGCTGGAAACTTGCACCGTATATAGGGTTCAAAGGTTATCTGTTATCAGGAGAGGCATTGCGCTAGCTCTGCACCATTTTTCTAAGGAACATAATTATGTAAGGGTGAAAAAAAGTGAAGCCAGATAAATTCACATCACATATTGTTTTGATAATGAAAATAATTATTTACACACTGTAATAAGGCATTAAAAATCTCTTCTGAAACTAGGGGTGGTGGTACATCCCTGTAATCTCAGTACTCTGAGATGCTGAGGCAGGAGGATCCCAAATTCAAGCTCTGCCTGGGCCACTTAGCAACTCAGTGAGATCTTGTCTCAAAATAAGAAACAAAAAAGTCAGGATGCTATTCCTTGTGAGGGCCCTGAATATAATTTCCAGTATAAAAAAAAATCTTTTTTGGAGATATTTGAGAGGTATTGAGAGTTTTATAAGTTTAAAGAACATGAAAAATGCCTAAGTTTTCTGCATATGAGGATATTGGGGTATAAATGAATACCTATAGAATGATCAAAACCAGGGAAACGTCCTAGCAAAAAGAATAGAAAGAAATATACTAGTGGTGTAATAGTTCTAATGCATATCATCTTGTTATTTTAACAAATTTCCCATTGTTTAAATAAGTAGATGTATAATCCACAAGTGAACCTTAATACACACATAGGATCAATGTGACATGTCTTCATTTAGGCATCATGCCCTCCCTGGTTACACTCAAATTTCCATTGTGTTTTTTCCATGAGCAAGAAATGTCCACTCCAGGCATAAGGAATGTGCGAGCTCCTCCACTTCTTTGTTTAGTTTTGTTTACTAGTTTGTTAGGTCTATGTAATAACACTCTTGTTATTTTGGACTTATTTTTTAACACACGGATCTTGCATACTATATTTTCTCAAATATGATATAATTTTAGTCAGGATTCTTAATCTCTTGCTAGGTACTTATACTTTAGATGTTGTCATGAGCAAGCTATTTAACAAAGCACATGTTTTGTCACTGATATTTCCTAGGAATAAGAATCACAGAAAAAGGAAATTGCCTATTCTGGTGAGCTAGGGTGTGATTACATTTTACGGTGCCTTTGGTTCATCTTTTCCTTCTCAAAGCTATTATACCTCAGCAAGTTTTTAACTGAATGTGCTTCTTCTCAGAATTTCAACATTGTTCTGTTCCCACAGAGCAAATAAATAAAAGAATTTTCCAAATTAATCTAAGTTGATAATTCAGAGTCATTTGGAGAGCCCAGTAATCAAATTGGCTAGAGCATAAATACATAATAGAAACTTATGCTCTGGCTTCTATTTTTTTGTAACTTTTTTGTCAAAGGTCCTACTTTACTTTTCAATGTGGATTTTAAATTTGATAGCATTAATGATTATGTAGTAATGTTTCTATTATGTACCTTCCTTTTTTTAGAACTGTAGTCTCAAAGTAATTCAGATTTCTCCTATATGCCTAGGATCAGTCCCTTGTGTGGGTTTGTCTTAAAATCTCCAGCATTAAAAACACACAGGGTCAGATTATTATATTAAGGGATTTTGTTTACCCATCTTCACTATAAAGGAGTGTTTTTCAGTTCATTATTTTCTATACAGTCTCTGGGTGACTATTTAAAAATGCAAAAGCCTCGGGCTGTCACACAAGGGTAATTATACTAAATGGAGGAAGTGGGGTGTGGGGGCTGGGGGTACTCTGTGTGTGTGTGTGTGTGTGTGTGTGTGTTTGTGTGTGTGTGTGTGTGTGTGTGTGTTCAAAGCATATGTCAGGTATTGCTACTACACAGTGAGATTTGATAGCCCTGTACTAGCCCAGGGGTAACCTATAACCAGGGACTCTGCAGTGATTCATCTTGATTTCTGCCGTGAGCTATGGTTCCCGTATCGGTGATGCTATGAATGCTTGTGGGATGAGTTCCCTTTTGTCTGCACCCATCCAAACCTCTGAATGCTGTTCAGCAGGGTCTGGTTCTAGATTTAGTCATGTTGGTCTTCATTTTCTTAGCACAGGTGCAGCAGTGAACAGCAGTGAGAGTCTCCCACCATCTTCATCTGTCAACGACATCTCCTCCATGTCCACAGACCAGACCCTGGCATCCGACACTGACAGCAGCTTGGAAGCCTCAGCGGGACCCCTGGGTTGCTGCAGGTGACTAGCCGCCTGTTTGCGAAACCCAGCATTCTTCAGGAGATGAGGGGATGGAACACACATGCACACACACATACGCACACACGCAGACACCCACGCACGCAGACACACATTGAGAAATCAACAAGGGAGAGAATCCAAGCCTACAAAGGAAACCAATCTGTTAGCCTGCTTCTTCTCCAAAGTTCTGTATTGTAGCTAAGCTCAAATGTATATTTAACTTCTAGCTGCTCTTGCTTTGGCCTCCTTCGAACCATGCTTACCACAGAGAGCAAATTGAACACAAATTAGAGAAGCCTTTTCCATAAAGTGTATTTTAAATGGCTGCAAAACCAGCAACCTGTACCTGCCCTTCCAAATGGCATGACGAGGTGTGCAGTGGCCCCGTCCAGCATGTGTGTGTCTCTATCTCGCATCTACCTGCTCCTTTGGCCTAGTCAGATGGATGTAGATACAGATCCGCATGTGTCTGTATTCAGACAGCTCTACTTAGAGATGCTCCTGTCAGTGTCCTCAGGGCTCTCCCAAGACATCACGCACTGGGGTACCACATGGTCCATTTCACATGATCTATTACTCTGACATAAACCCATCTGTAATATATTGCCAGTATATAAGCTGTTTAGTTTGTTAATTGATTAAGCTGTATGTCTTATAAGAAAACGTGTAAAGGGGGAAATGTGTGGGGGGGAGTGAGCTCTCAGACTTGAAGATGTAGCTTCCAAATTTGAACTGATTAAATGGCATCTGTATACCAATTTGTAGAAAGAACATATGTGATGCTTATGTACAGTGTGTGGGAGTGGGGTAGCTTTCACGTCCCAAATGGTGCAGACTATAGGGTGAAGGCGTGAATCGTAGCTGATGCTGATCAGGTAGCAGGGACAGAGAGCGGTGATGCAGTTCAGATCAAGAACAGAGGAGATGATTGCCCTGAGGCCAGGAGACACTGATATCTGTACTGTAAAGAGCAGACCCATTTGTTATTTCTAAATTCCATGTCACAGCAGGAGGCTGCTGGAGAGAGTGCGGATGAAACAAGGTTTCTGTGTCCACGTCCGATAGTGAAAATCCTTAGCATGCGAGTTCCTGAACAGGAAGACACCTCCCCAAGAGACTCAGATGGTGGGCTGTGTTTTCCTGAGTGGGCTGTGTCTCAGGCTAACACCCTGCCAAGGTTTTATTCTGAGAAGAAACATTGCTTTTCTCTTCTGGAATAAAATAAAATAAATTAACTTAAATAAAGCCCCCAAAGCACAGGGTGATCCACAAGTTAGCATAAAACATCTCCAAAGACATCACTGTTCCTCAGGAGGTGCCCTGACTCCTTAATATGACTGTTTCTTGTTTACTTATGTATTTTCATAAATTTGAACAACGTAAGAAGGGCTGATAGTCTGAAATTTGTACTACCGTAGATTTGAGAGCAATAACTCCGCCCGTAATTCACTGCTGCGAAATCACATTAGCAATATGAGTTTGTCTTAAAGCCATGAAGCATTAATGTCAATGTTTAGTGAAATCACCTGATTTTAACTTAAATCAGATGAAAGTGCTTTCTCGACACTTCAGGTGGAACTGTGGGGCATGCAGGTTATCTGACAGGGCCATCCTAGAGGGACTTCTCAGCAATAACGGGACCAGGCTAAGCTTCCTTCTTATCCACTTTGGTGAAATATCCATCACTGTTATTTGCACTCTGGCCCCTTTGATGCTCATCAGTGCAGTGGTATTTCACCTGAGGAAGAAATAAAACACATAGAAGGGATAGTTGTTGAAGGCGATATGACTGGTACGTTGGAGCACCTCAGAAATAGAGCAAATGAGAACACCAGTACTTAAACACTGCCTTAAGTCCAGCAGCAGGGATTCCCTCTCTCTTTTGAAGCAATAGAACTGCACCCACTCCCACCACCCACCACCGAGCAGCCACTGTTAGGGGACTGCTTCACCTGGTAGGGTTCGTTGCAAGAAGGAACTTGTTTAAAATGCAGAGAACACCAAATTGTGCAGCTTGTCCCCTGGAATAAAAATATCCCACTCTCTATCTGCTACCACTTTTTTGATGAATATTGCAGACTCTTAAAAATGCCTCCTAGCTCACATGCGTCTTCTCACTTTTCCTTGTGTCATGGTCCTGGTGTTTTGAACTTCCTTCCTCTGTATTGCTGTTGTCTCTTTTCTCTGAACTCTGCTCTTGACATATCCGTGGCCTCTCCACTCCTCTCCACCCCTCTGCTTTATAGCACATGGTCCTACGTGCAGAGGTCAGGCTGCAGCTTGAAAGCAGCTGTCTAAGGTGAATTTCATGAGCTCCATGAGGACAACAAAAGGCAGGAGGAAATCTCCACAGCGTCTTGGGAGCATTCTACAGTCAGGCTCTCTCTCATGTCTGCAGGCCTGGTCATTTATCTTTTCAGAGTACACCAGCCAAGAACTACACAGTTCCGTGTCCTGGCTCTTGCAGCCTTCCCTGGGCTCCACTCTTCCTATATTCCTTTTCGTGTAGCTCTTGGGAACTGGTACCTTTAGTCAGATGTCCCTGTGGACAAGGAAAACAAAACAGAACAAAACAAACCCTTTGGATTTACACAGCATTTACAAATACAGGCAAGAATTTGGGCTTCTGACAGGATTGATTTTCCTAGGTGATCAAAGCAAGATCTGCCAGTAGATAGAACAACAAAGAGCATTACCACCATCAAAGACCCTTGCCCTTCACAATCTTAGGCGTCCTTTGTTATATCTTTTAAAAAGTGGTTATGATAAAATTCAGAATATGTTATGATCAGCGTTCAGTCTTCTTAAAAAGTAAAAACACCAAACAGCTCCTGTGTCATCACTTGCTATTTCCAAAGGATGTTTTTACACTTTGGGTAGACTACATTTGTGGGAGTCAGCCAGACTAGATTTCTGGAAGGGAAGGTCTTGCCTCTGCTGGGGACCGCTTCAGAATATGAGTTAGCACCATGAGGAGCCTGACCTTCTGTCCTTTCAAGCTGTGAGGCAGTTGGCTTTACAGTGACCCTTGATAAAAAGTTCCGTAGTGTTTGCTAGAAGGAATGGGTGTGTACTCCCGTGCAGGAACAATTACATTGTTATGAGAACCTGGCAAAAACAGCACCAATGTAGATACGCCTTTGCTATTTTTATACGTGTTGTGTGGACCAGTGTGTTCATTTTCACAAAGGGATACATTGGCCTTACAACAAAATTTCTTCTTGTGGAATAAAAACTGAAAATAATACTTCATCCTCAAGTATCTAATGTTTGAGCTTTCTAGGATGCAGCTAGCTCCCAACTGGTCCAGGGCCAGGCCAATTCCCACCCATTGGAGGAAGATGCGTCAAGCATGGAAGAGAAGGTGGATAGTTTTCCTCAAACTTTTATCATTATCAGACAAATATTATCTAAAGTTAATGATAACTGTGGAGTGGCAGATTAGAAAATTGGTTTTGGCAAATGGAATGTGTAAAATAGGTAAGAAGACATAAATCTTTTTGTGATCTGTCTGGAAAAGTATAATAAAGCTGATTTGTAAAGTTTTAAATATTCATTGAAGAACCTAAATTATACAAATGATGTTTCTATTTAATTCTCTTAGCATATGACAGTCTGCATTTTTAAAAAATTATGCTCTGTAAAGAATATTATCAATGAGCTTTGTTAAAATAATATCTTCTGCAACTCAGCCAGAGGATTCAAATTGCCCTGGGAATTTTTGTTACCAGCCTCTGGGTCTGAAGAGGAACACTGCTCCCCCTGAATCCTCCATATATATTTGGATTATGAAAGCCCAACATTTTTCACAGATCTCACTAAACCAAGGGAGATCATTCATGTAAAAACAAAATAACAGTCACAATGTAAATAGTTAAATCAATTATTTTTCTTGTGATTGAAATTTAGTTTTTTTTGACATTTTTTTGACATTTTTGACATTTTTTGACATTTTTTGACATTTTTTGACATTTTCCTCCTGGGGAGGAACCTTGCCATTTTTTTGACATTTGATCAAACTGAGGTAGGAGGCCTCTGTTTATACCTGGACTCCTGTATATTTAGCTTTTAATTACGTGGGACCAATGGCCAGTATATCCTAATAGGAACAAAGCTCCCTATCTGCCACTCTCTGTTTACCTAGCCCTGCTCATCTTGCCATGATCCTTAACTTACACCTGCCTGTGATTCTGCATGATTGGACACCAAAGACCATTACCAATGATGAGCATTGTTTTATATTGTGTTTATACAATGTACTAAAGCACACACATACACACACATAGACACATGTTCACACACACGCGCTTGCTGTTCTAGATCAATTATGGAAGCCAAAACTGTGTAGGTCCTATTTCTTTGTGAGATCTTAGAGGTGAGGACTAAAGTCGGTCAGCCTGGTGGATGAAAACAGTCTCAGTGATGTCTAGCAAGGATTTGATGTCATTCAAATCATGTCTGTGTTCTTTCTCACATTCTCTGATTTCTAATTTTCCCTCTTTGTTTCCAAAATGCTTGTGGAACAGAGGATGAATTGGAGGAGAACTGTGGCTTCTTTTGACTCTTCATAGGTAGATGCTGGGTCAATATATTGTGATTTCTGTTTCTTATGAATTATTAAAACCAGCGGAAATTTGTTCCCCTTAATATGAAACTAAATCCAAACCCAAGTTTTGTTGATGTTCGCCTGTTGCCATGGTTACTCTGCTCACTACCTCCACCTCACACGCTGACCATGGGGCGCTGGAGGGGCTCTGGAGCTCACACACTGGGGAGGAACCTTGCCATGTGGTCTGTTCTCGGTGCCAGGGAATCAGTAAGATACAAACAGTGGCCTGCTTTCTCCATGCCCAAGCATGTGTCATATAAATGTCACCATATAGAAAACTATGTTTTTATTTGAGACTGATATCTTCTACACATTGCCTTCATTTCTATCTGAACATACCCGTTGTGTATCTGCCATTCAGTAAGTTTCCTATAAAGTATAAAATCAAAAAAGGAAAAACAGACATTTTTTCTGAGGCATTCTGTAAGGAGACTATGGCTAAATGTTTTAGGTTAATCATTGGAATTCCTTGTCATTCTAATTATTATCTAAGAGACTGATATGTTTGTCTATGTGATAGCAAACCTCAATATTTCAAATTCCTCAGTGAACTAAAATATATGATTTTGTGGCTTGATAAAGAGGTCATTGAACTTACACTATTTATCTGTCAGTGTCTGAACAACGTTGAGGATTTGCCTTACTATTTCTGTACATAATACATTTTATTTAATCAATTAACTGTGACAAAGTCTGGAATATAAACATATCTATTCTTTTATGTTATCAAACATATTTTTTATTTCTTTAAGGGAAATAGAGACCAGCATTCTTAATTACCTCTAGAAGAGCTTCTTTCTCAGTTTTGATCATAGATCATTACTCACTTAAAAAAGTTTTAATGTGATCAAATGTAAGTACTTGAAAATACCCACAAGCATGATGGAAAATTGTATTCCACAAGATAGTTCCTTTTGGAGGGAAGGAGCCAGAATACTTATTAGTGCATTCCAGGTACCATAAAATGTTACCAAATATGTGGTATTTCTGGCTAACTTTGCAGTGAGGAAATGTAAAGGATGCTGGGCATTGCTCTTTTGAAATTACTAATGAAGTAACCAATCTAAAAGAGTGGAGGTGCTTGCTCAATAACTGCACTGGTTGTAGTCAAGGTAGAGGTTTTGGATGTTGCTCATTCATCACGACAGTATTTCATGCTATGCTATCTCTGCACGTCATGCATGGACAGCATGGGCAAGTCCCAAGGACAGCATAGGATCACACATACAAAAACAAGGCAACACCCCTCTGAAGTTTCATGCTCCCCTACGTCAAATATTTCTTTCTTTAAAGATGCCTTTTCTTTGTGCAAAACACAACATAACATAAATTTTAAATGCAGCTTATGGGGTTTCAGTTCCACTACACAGAGTGGCTAGTTTTACTTTTCCCAGAGCTCCTTTCAGCATTCACTTATGATGTTGTCCTTCACTTGACCTTGTCTGGAATTCTTCTGTTGGCCAGTACTGCATGATGGTTTCAACTGAAAAGCAGGTACAAGTTGTTACTCATATTACAAAACCACTACACTCAGCCTAGATGCCTGCCCCATGCATAGTTTTTCTTCCATTTGTACCTTTGGATTCACATTAGTGGAAATAATGTCTATAAATAGTTATACACAAAATAAACTATAATGTAAATAATATTTCACACCAATTAAAGGAATTAACACTAAAGGTTTTCTTTTATAAAACAATTTCAAAAAGAAAATTGCCTCCTCCTCAAGGTTAACATATTGCAAACTTGGATTTGGCAAGAATTAATGTCTACAAATTTCGAGTTTAATTTCTGAGTTATACTCCAAAGTGGCTTATCAATTCATTTCAAAAGCGTTTATGGAACACATCTGTGTAAGAGGCATATGGTATGATCTTACCTTCAAAAATTCAGAGTAAATAAATCCTTGTTTAAAACTATGTGGTTACAGCAAAATAACTTTAATTTATTTATTTTTTAAATAGTAATGTGTTTCAATCAGTAGTGGAAGTCAAATGAACCCATAATTATTATTAGGCCAAAATAATGAAATAAGAAATCTGGTTCGTCTGATGTTCTCAGTTGCCTGATTGTATGTTAGTACATTAAATGAATCAGCTTAAGATAATTTCAGACTTTATCCATTACATTATAGAAGATGAAGACATTTTTACAATTTATTTAAAAAGCCCGGACTGGGCGTTCTTTTCTGCATTACAGGGTGTTTGTTTGACAGTTGCTGGCTCCGAGGGCTCTTGGGTTTGGATGCTGAGCTCGAGGTCTACATTTCTACCATCAGCATCTCCACTTCAGCAAATGACCTCGGGTGCTGGGGTCTCTGCAGCAACATTCTCTCCTGAAGCCCATCTCGGAACTGTGTGGAGTCCATAGTGACTACCGGAGTTCTCTAACTGTTTACAGTCTAACTCCATCATTTATTGTTTTCTATTAAAAGACTCATGTCAGAACCTCCCTGAACGTCTGACCCTGTAAGTTTACGCTGTGCTCTAAACATTTACTCACAGTTCACACCGACTCTCCCGGAGCACTTCCACCTCCCGGGGAGCACCCTCAGGACGCACCATGGTGATGACGTCAGCAGTCACCTGCCTTCACGGAGTCCACAGACCAGCCGGGCTTAGGAGAGTACTAAATACCAAGGGACACATCAGGTCAAAATGACGAGGCATGAAAATACATGGTATTTTAGAAAGGCAGTCAGGGGAGGCCTCTCCAAAGAGATGATATCTACACAGAGGCAGGAAATAAGTCTCATCCATATGTGAAGAAGAACATTTTGGATGAGGGCAAAGCAATCCCTGGAACAAAAATTTGCTTGTCCAGCATATGCCAAGGATGGCAAAGCATCTTGTGGATTAAGCAGAAGGACAGGAAAAGCGTGACAGTAGATGAAAGGGGAGTAAGGGACAGGAATCAGAATGTATTAAGGTCTTGGGATTTTATTATGAATACCAGGACAAAATTAGATGAGCAAGGAAATAGTCCAGTCTGAATCTTTCTAAAAGGATCCCTTTGGCTGTTGAACAGGAGAAAATTCTTAGGAAAAAGGAGGATGGAAACAATGACTCCAGTAACTGTAGAATATAACAGGAACCCAGAAAGGCGTGAGGAGGCTTGGACTGGGGATTGAAGGCCCTGAGAAGCATTTGGTCGGGATATGGTTAAGGATATATTGTGAAGGCAGAGATGACAAGATCGGCTGATGGACTGGGATTGTGACATGGAAAAATAAGAGAGATCAGGGATTACTAAATATTTTTACCTAAACTCTGAGCTAATTGATGGTGTGTATCACTAAGATGGTAAATGATAGGTTATGAGGATATTTGGGAATAATATCATGTTTGCTTTTGGTATGTCAGTGAGGGATGTTTACTGGATATCCAGGTGAAATAGTAGGGTTTTCTACTAGACTAGGAAGAAGTTTAATGAAATATGAATCTCATTATAGATAACATTAAGAGTGATTAGTCTGTATAAAACTTACAGGAATGGAGGGTCACAAAATAAGAGGAAATTGGAGATGGAAATGCCACTCAATCCAACGCAGAGACATCAGAACCTGGGAGGGTATTCCAAGGAATGCCCTGTGAGGTGGATGGAAAGCTAGGAAAGGGTGGTGTCCTGGATACAAAGTAAAGAAGGTGTTTTCTAAAAGAGGAGTGAACAAAAGGCAAAGGCTACCGAGATGCTGAGGCAAGGCTGAAGATTGGCAGTGAAATTTGTTTTGTGGAACTGTGTGAGAGCAGAGTCTGGGTAGAGCTGAGCCAGAAAGAGTAACTGAGGTGGGTTTGGGAGAACACAGGATGTCAGGTCATGGTAGGCAAAGGCAGCTATACTCACAGGACACGTGGGCACACTCAACCAGTGTCAGCACGCACATGGCTGTGGGGGTAGACGTGGGGAGAGTGGGAGCCCAGCCAGGAAAGACAATTTACAGGAGGAAGTGAGGAGACAAAATCTAGAAATAAGTGTGGTTAGAATAAGAAATAGGGCTATTGCTGGATTCCATAGCTGCTTCTAGCCCAGGTCTGGCAAACGTGTCATCTTGGGCAATGCATAAATTCCTCCAGTGAGAAAAGCTGAGTGTGGTGAGTGCTGATAGTTGGCCAGGCTTGCTGCCAACACTAACAGTACCCACTGAGCCTAGAGGCTCTTCATCACGGACATGGTACCTGGCAAAAGAGATATTTGCTAAGGAAGGCCTCTCCAGATGCTGCGTCCTGTACAGCTCTCCATGGCCCCAGGGAAAAAGAGCAAAAGGATCAAGAAATAAACACAAGAGACGGAAACTGGGGTCAGGTGGAGCCCTCTCTCCAGATGGGAGGAAAGGAGCTGAACAACCACCATAGAGGCATTTATTTACACATTTGACAAAGTTAGCATCACAGGGTTGCCTAGTGACTAATGGCTGAAACTGTCTCAGGCAAGGTGTTTTAGGACCTAAGTAGCTTGATTGCTTTAGGCACTCTTCCTTCTTGGACTAGCTCCATATATGTGACCAATTTCCGGCTTCTGCTGCTCCCTACACCCAGACCAGAGCACCAGGGATAATAAGTGCTAGGGAGATACTCAGAGGGCAGCGGCTGGAATAGGACTGCAAGCTCCAGGGACTGAGAGAAGCAGAGGGCACAGTCCTGCTGGGGCACCCAGCACTACTGGATCCATGAGACAGTGAAGAACTTGGGGTTTGCAATGGGTAGGTGTGTTGATTTGGGGCTTATTTTGCAAGGGGAACAATGTAATACAGGACACATATTTTATAAGATTATTTAGAATAGTCACCCAAAGAATGACATACAAAAGAGTGGAGGAAATCTGTCCACACACAAGAACAAGGAATCTAGCCAAGGGCTTGGATCCCACAGAAATGTCCTGCAGGTGTCCAGCTTAAGTTCTAGAGCTCATCATGCCTCCCACAAGTTCACCTGGAGGCTCAGAGCCCATGAGAATATCTCATGCAGGCCTGTTTCATGGATCTGAGCTGGGAAGGCCCAAAGGTCAGTGGTGGAATCTAGAAAGTCTGTGCCAGCAGGATGAAGGATCTGTGCTAGCAGGCAGAGGGATCTGCACTGGAGCCAGGAAGCAATGCTCAGAAGAACCAGAGCTCCCCCAAAAGGTACCACAGCCATCCTCAGCAACAGTGAGGTCTCGAGCTCCTCCAGTGATCAAGATGGCTGGGTTCCCATCAGGGAAGCCAATGCAACAAGCTTCTCTAGGAGACCGGCAGTGCACTGTCTTGCCCTCCAGAGCCAGGAAGCAATGCTCAAAGTGAGGACCAGAGCACTCCCAAAGTGAACCAAAGGCATTCTCAGTGCTAATCAGGTCCAAGATCCTTGGGGGATGAAAACAGCCAAGTTCATAGGAAAGCCAGCATGATGATCTCCTCCAACAGAACCAACAGCTCCTTACAGCTTCTACCAGCTCCAACAGCCTCCCTTCTTCTTCTCCAGCTCTGCCTCTTCTGCTGCTGGCAACAGTCCTCAGTTGGGCCTCCTACATCCAGTACCATGCTTACTCAGTTCAGCTGGTGGTTATAAGTTGACCACCAGTTGTCAATCTACTACAGTAGTGCCTGTAAGAACTAGGAGTGGAGAAAAGATTGTAGAGGGTTAGGCACTGGAAGGAGATCTCTCTTGTGGGTTCCCAAATGCCACTGAAATTACAGGCTGCCGAGAAACCCAGAGATAATGTGATTACCAGGGACATACAATTGCCAGAAGTGGAGAAAACAGCCCATAGTAGTGACTAAGGAGGCTTTTCCCTCCCAGCTCCTATACGTCACTTGGAAGAGAAACTCAGCCAGCACCAGCATTGCTGGGATCCTCTAGTATGTGGGCAGAGAAAAGCCACCACACAGAATGCTGTGTGTGTGAATATGTATGTGTTTATAGGGGGGCTTGCTGTCTCTTGTTGACCCCACCACAGAAGTTATAGGCCAAGACAACCTTAGTCAATCAGGGTATAACTGTGAAATGAGTGCCTGAGCCTGAAAGGTAAGCAGGGCAGAGAGATCTGTGGAGTTCACAGCAGGAGTACAACCCAGGAACCTGAGACTGACATCTACCAGGGGACAGGCATGAAAATAACACCAGGAGCTCCTGTGCCTGGTGATATAAAGACAACAGCATACACAAAGCACTTCAAAGCATTCATCCCAACCAAAAAAGGAAGGATATTGTAATCTTTTTTTTTCTTGTTTAATTTTTTTAAGTTTGGCTATATTTTTTTTTGTGTGTGTGTTTATAAATGTAACTACAGGTATACGTTTTCTGCTGTTGCTTCTGTAGCATTCCATGTTGTTCAGGCACATATGTCCACAATCAGTGATGGCTTTTTTATATCAGCATTGATTGACTTTCAGGTCAGTGTTCAGATATTGTCCCCTTATTTCTTCTCTCATCTCTCTCATCTATTCATAATCCCTCATTTCTCTGCCTTCTTCATTTTCCATCATATACCTCCTCCAGTCTCTCAGTCTTTTATTTTTTTCCTCTTTTCATTTCGTTTTTCTCCTTTATATAAGTACTATCAGGATTAATCCAAATATCATTAAGTTTAATTTTTTTGTACGTTAGATTTTATTATACTTCCTGTATTTCTAGGATACCAAAATAGCACATAACTTCTAAAACAAGTTTTGAACTACCTGATATTATTTAGGACTGACTTCTCAATTTTTGTGTTATCTACAGTTACTCTCTATTCTGACAACAGTGCTAGAGGTTGAACCTAGTACTTAGAATAGTTGATGGTTGGGAAGGAGCTTCACATGGAGACAAACCCAGAACACTGGACACATCACAAAGAGAAAACCACTCATCAGAAATACTGCTACACCCTTCTTCTCTGTAAACCTGTACACAGAAATACCAGTATAATAAGAACATAAGGCAACAAGATCCTCATGCAAATTCAGCTCCCCAAAACTTGGTCTGAAAATACCAGAGTAGATGAAATTCCAAAGAATTAAAAATCTGTTAAAATAATTAAGGATATCAAAGAATAGACAAATAGTCAGTTGAGTGAATTCAGGACAGTACAGGATATGAAATGTGACTTTAGTAAAGGCACAGAGGTTTGAAAAAGAATCAAGCAGAAATTTTGTGAATGAAAAGTTCAATATGTCAACTAAAATCTTAATTGAAAGTCTCAGCAGTAGACCAGATGAAGTCAGAAGTAAAGGATATCAGAACTCAGAGACAAGGTGGATGGAGTAAAATATTCAATCAATAACAATGGAAATATAAGAGGTATTTAAAAGATTATCCAGTAGCTTTATATGACTCTAAAGAAGAAATTTAAGGATCATAGTAGAGATTGAGCATAAAATATATTCCCTGAAATTTTTGCAGAAAATTTCCCAAATCTAGGGAAGAAATGTATATCCAGATAAAAGGATTTAGAACACAAAAAAGACACAACCAGAAGAGAACCTCTCCGCAAC